GCGCGGGGCGCGCAGCGCCTGATGGCAGCTGTAAGGGACACCACGCGCCCCTTACAGCTGCCATCAGGTGCCCCCCATCGGTTGGCGCCCCGGGCAGTTGCCCGGCTCGCCCATGCCTCAGTCCGGCCTTGGGTGTGGCCAGTGCTCAGGACCTTGTTGATTATCTAACTACCTATTGCCCATTTCTATATGTCTTTTCCAGAGTAAGATTATTGAGATGATGCAGTTGTAGCAACATTTGGTATCTACCACTATTTCAGACTATTTCCCGTTATGTCAGAGCTGGACATAGTGTGTAGGTATTGTTGGCTATATTGATAGATGCTCTTACAGCCTCATGTGTATGTCTTTACACATAAGGGACCCAGCGGCAAGCAGGCAATGGAGTGAGTTCTGCTGTGGCTGAGGGGCTAGCGCATTTGCCTGTGGAAACATAGGGTGGTGGGTTCAAGGCTGGAGAAAGGGGGCATAAGGGATCTGTCAGAGATAGTCTCTGGAAGTTGATCTAAGATGCTGCCTGTCCTATGGTTGCTAATACTCCAAATTGTCTTGCAGTCTCCATGAATTAAAGATTGTTTTGTCCTCTTCTTCTTAAACCCTTGCACTCCAAGTGGAGCATAGGTTATCTATGACCTATGTAGGGACAACTTAGTGGCTTGAGCATTGGCCAAGGTTGTGAGTTCAATCCTTGATGGGGCCATTTAGGGATCTGGGGCAAATCTGTCAGGGATGGTACTTGGTCCTGCTGTGAAGGTCCCTTCCAGCTCTGAGAGAGGTATATTTCCATGTATGATATTAAGTTTCCAACTTCATTCTGTCTTGAGACAAAACTTCTAGCTGACTCCAGGAGTACCCGAGTTGTCCTTCAATCTCAGTAGATATTCTCCATGTTGTCTGAGGTTTTCCTCGTCTTCTTCTTTTGCATTTTCCTTGAGGGTTCCATGTGAGAACTTGATGGACTATGCTGGATGATGGTTTTCTGAGAGTGTGGCCTAGCCATCCCCACTTTCTTCTCTTGATTTGAACATCAAGTGGTTCTTGTCCTGCTCTGTTCCAAAGCTCCTCATTTGTGACAAAGTCTTGCCATTTGATGTGAAGGATGTACCTCAGGCATCTGTTTATGGGTGTATGTAGCTTGTGATTTGAAGACTTTTTAGTAGAGTAATTCCTCATTTAACACTATAGATGCATTTCCGCAAATGTTCGTGCTAAATGAAAACGTGCTATGCGGGGTCAATTTTCCCATTAAAAATAATTGAAAAGGTGGGGTTGCATTTCAGGTGGTAGTGGCAAAATCAATCTTTTGTTGGTGCTGGGTCTTCAACATTGACATTAGATATCTAGCAACACAAGATAACCAGCAACACAAGTTGCCGCAGTTTGTTAAAACACAAAAATAAACACATAAATGAGCGGAGGAGCGCTGTGACCACACGTATTCATCCACTCATGCGTATTACCACTGTTTTCACCAACTTATGCTCCTATTACCACTGTTTTCACCAACTTATACTCCCCAAGTAGATGAATTGCTCCACATCTTCCAGGTCATCCCCTCCCTGTGTGATGGTGGTATTGTTGGACTGGTTGTTCCTCATTATCTTGGTCTTCCCCTTGTTAATGCTCAGTCCAATCACCCATTTTCCCCATTTCTACTCAGGGAAAAGACTGGCTGGGGAAAAGAAAGGGGTTCACCCAGCTTTGTATCATTTGGGGGTCCACTGAAACAGTAGAGTTTGGTTTTCCCTCTATACCTTATGGTGGTCAGTGATGGGAGTAGCTCAACGAACAGCAAGCTGATGCCCTAGGTGTGGTACCTAAATTGAGGGCTGCTGTGAGCCCCTGAGGCAAGCAAATCCACCTGAAAGTGCAGGACCCACCAAGTTTGAGTACGAGTTTTGTCACAATACCTTGATATCTTTCCTACAAATAATTCATAGTAGAAAAATGGAAAAGGTTAGACAAGCATCTATCAGGGATGGTTTAGATATTTTAAATCCTGCCTCTACTCAGAGCAGTGAACAAAATGACCTGTTGAGATCCTTTCCAGCCCTACATTTCTAGGACAGCAAACAAGTTTCTAAACTGACTTACACAATATATGCACTATAAAGGATTCACATCTATCCAGAGGTGAATGTGCTCGGACTACCTATACACTGGGGTCCTGAGCAAGGTGGGGAGCCTCAAGCAGATGCGGTGGAGATAGGGGAACCATGCTTCCCCCAGACAGTCATTCATGCCTGCCATAGCAGCTGGGAGTCCCAGGGCTCCAGTGGTGATTTGAAGGGTCCAGGGATTTGGTTGCGACTGCTGCCGTAGTGGTGGCTGGAGCCCTGGGCCTTTTAAATCACTGGGCCTGGGGGCAACTGCCCCTTTTGCTGACTCTTGTTAGCAGCCCTCCTGGTAGTGTCCAGCAGGGATGCTGATGGTGGGGATCAAAAGGGGCAGCGATGTTCATTGGCTGTGTATGGGCCAGTACTGGCAGACGCTTCCTACCAGTCTGTGGTATCAGCCCATACCGGGTCCCCTTTCACCTCTGCATCTATCTGCATTAAAATTCAGCCACCAACAGATTGTTTCAAGGTGCCCAGAAATACAACAGGACAGGACAAAAAATGAAGAAACCCATATCCAAGTAAAGCTAGAGAAATATATTTAAGAAAGCAAAATGTAGCTACCCAAGTTGTAATTTAGCTAGTTTACTGCAATTAATACCCCAAAT